TGTTGGGGGGAATAGTGTCTCGCTCAGCCTTGCGTTTTGCATCCGCAGCTGGTAATAATCAACTGTTGTTCTCTGCTGTTCCCGCTTCTCTGCCATCCCCACTTCTCTGCTTTCTGCCCTGATGCCTGTGCCCTGCCGCTGACCGCGTGGAGCTCACATCACTCCCAGGCGGGGCTGTTCGGGGAAGTCGCTGCACCTTCTCCCCTCCTCCTCCTCCTACAGGGAGCTCTGGCGGCTACAAGAGGCATCGTCTTTGTTTCTCCCAGTCCACCACCTGACACCTGGAGTTCTGACCTGTGGTAGCTCTTATGCACAGATCTCACGCTCAGATGTGCTGGTGTGCAGTTTGGGTGTTTTTTGTTGAGTTTTAGATGTTTGGCGTGTTGTTGTTTCAAGAGGGGAGATCTGGGACCGTCTTTCACTCTGCCATGTTTCTGACATCAAAGAGGTTACTGCTTATTCCCCTTCCATGGGATAAGAAGTAGGTAGGAGCTCACAGAAGTTCTTTTTCATCAGGCAAGTTACACAATCTGTTTTTTTTTATTTTCGAAGACAACTCTTCCTCAGTTATGTGGAAGAGTCACTAGAAGGTGTTAATATTGAAGGTATGAAAGGACTACAATAGAGTTAGGAGACTTTTCTATAAGAGAAACGAGAGGCAACAAAGACCTGGACCAGAACAGAATTTGTTAGAGAAGAGGAAAACGGCAACATAATCTACAAAATTTGTCACTAAGTTGGTATAGGAATGGATAGATAAGGAGGAACTGAGTTTATTTCTACCTTTGGAGATGGTGAGGATGGCAAAATTGCTGTTAGAGCAAGGATCCTGAAGCGGGACAGGTTTAGGAGGAAGATAAAAGACATGTAAATTGGAAGTGTCTGTGGGATATCCAATTATCAAATGCTTTTTTTGCTAATTAGAGACATGCACTTTTATGAAAGGTCAGCATTTAGAAGTCATGGATATGGGTAATTAGTAAATGAGGCCTCCCAGAATGAGCGTGCATAAAGAAAAACCGGAGGACCAAGGATAGAATCTTGGAAGGCCCCAATATTCAAGTAAAAGCAAAACCTCTCTATAGTAAATCACATTTGCATTCCCGCAAAGTAGGAGAAATCACATCCAAATTTACAAATAAAGACATGGGGACTTTGCTATCCTTATAGCTATCGTAAAATATTAAGTTTCATTGCATTTCAGTTAAAGTCTGTCAAAATATTTAATATCTTACCAATAAAAAAAAAAAGAAACAAGTGCATTTGTGGTGGAGAAGCAGCAGCAGAAGGTAGAATAGGTCAGGGAATATGTTGTGTACAGGGATGCCTAGGAGGAACAAATAGAAAAAGTGTCAACCCCGAGAATTCTATATGACATTGAGTGGTTTTCTGTTTCTAGTTATGGGTTCTAAGCTTCTAGTATGTACTACCTTATGAAAATGCCATTCCTACAGCCTCACTGGTTTTAGAAAGATTCCTCTTTCTATTTTACATTCTACCTTATGTGACAAGATAAACTAGCTACAGCTATGAAATCAACCTAAAAATTTCCATCATTTTGACTATATATGGGACAAGATTGGCCCTCCTTATAAATTGTCTTGTTTTCTTACAGTGCTTTTAAAGAGAAACGATGGCTTCAGCGGTTAGAAATAGCAAGAATCCTAGCCAAAAAGAGTATTTCTAACTTGACTACCCAAGAAGGTCTGACAGTGTGTGAAAATCCTCTGGAAACTGTGCTTTAAAAAGTCATGACGATCCCTGTTTGGGTGAAGACCTGGTCAAACAGAACCTCCGGCTCTAACGTTCACTTTTCCAATAAGAGTGCTAATGCTACAGGACTATCAACAGGATATTTAATTTTAAACACCATGTCATCTTGGACTCTATCACCCTAATAAAAATTTAGGGCATTTGTTTTTGCATAAAGAGTATGGGGAAGAATTCATAAGAAACTGAGAGTAGTAATTGCCTATGGGGTAGGAAAACTGGGAAGATGAGAAACAGACAGAAATGAGAATTTTTACTGTTCCCTTTGTCCACTGGGTTTGTTTGAATCCTTTTGTTTTTTAAACCGTATAAATGCAATACATAGTTTAAAAAAAGCTTTTATTCTATATAGGGAAAGTCCCTAGGAGAGTTACAAATACATCTAGGGCTAGTACTTGTCTCAGACATTTTCGAACATCTGCTAAATTATTGCTTCCTTTTAATTTTTTAAAGTTGAAATAAAGTTTTTACCCAGTGAGATGCACAGATCTTAAATATAAGATTCAATGACTTTGACAAATATATGCATCTGTTTATTCAATATCCCAAACAAGATGTAGTATACTTCCATTACTGCAAAAACTTTCTTTAAGCTTCTATCCAAGCCTATCCCAATCCCTACAGGCAGCTGCTATTCTAATTTCTATCTCCATGGATAAAACTTCCCAATCAAAAGAATCATATAATTGTTCATTTCTGTGCTTGGATTATGTTGCTCAATTTAACACTTCGAGATCCATTTACATTGTTGCATGTTATCAGTAGTATGCTATCTTTTATTACTGAGTAGTATACCATTGTATGGATGCACCATAATTTATCTGTTTAACTGTATGGGCATTTGGGTTCCCTCCAGTTTGAGACATTATGAATAACGTTGCTATGAACATTATTGTAAAGATATTTTTCTGGACATATGTTTTCATTGCTTTTGAGAAAATTCCTGGGAGTGTAATCATTGGATAACAGAGTAAATATACATTTAACATTATAAGAAAGCGCTTAACAGTTCTACAAAGTGGTTTTATGATTTTACACTTTTGCTAACAATGAAAAATGTTCTGGTTGCTTCACGTACTTACCAAAATTTGGCATCAGTGTTTTTGATTTTTAGTTATTCTAATGGGTTTGAAGTGCTATCTTGAGATAATAAAGAAAAAAAAAACAGGAAAAGAAAAGAAATGGCATCTCATTGTCATTTAATGTGCATTTCCCTGATGTCTAATGATACTGAATGCTTTTTCATGGGCTTTTTATGTGAATGCTTGGCCATTTGTATATCTTCTTTTCTGAAGAGTCAATTCAAGTTTTTAAGTATTGGTTTATTAGAGATTTTTAAATACTCATGATATAAATTCTTCATCAGGTAAATGTATTGCTAATTTTTTTTATCTAGCTGTGGCTCACTTTTTCATTTTATTAATGGTGTCTTTGATGAATAAAAGTATTTAACTTTGGTGAAGTATAGTATATCACTTCTTCTTTTTATGATTTATGCTTTCTGTTTCCTAATAACTCTGTCTACCCCAAAGTCATAAAGATATTTTCATATGTTTTCTTTTACAAGTTTCATAATTTTAGTTTTTATTTTAGTTCTATAATTCATCTCAAGTTATTTTTGTGTGTGATAGGAAATGAGGGTAAGAATTCTTTTTTTTCCATTTAACAGTTTATCAAATTGTTCTAGTACTAGTTTTAGAACAGACTTTTTTCCCCTCATTGAACTACTTTGATACTTTTATCAAAAATTAATTTACAATATATGTAAATAGATACAATATATCAATTTCCAGACTCTCTAGTCTATTCCATTGACCTATTTACTTATCTTTATACTTAATACCATACTGCATTAATTACTGTAGCTTTATAGTAGATCTTAAAATCTACTATATGGTAGAATACTCGAATTTTGTTCTTTTTCAATGGTTTTTGGCTATTCTCAGTCCTTTGCATTACCATATACAGTTTTAAATGAACTTGTCGTTTTCTATAAAAAAAAAAAAGCCTCTTTGAATTTTGATTAGGCACAACTGATATCTTAATAATATTGAATCTTATAACCCATAATATATATTTTTCCTCCCCCCTCTTTGAATCTCCCCTCCCCCACTTTCACCCCTGACCCATAAACTAGATCTCTGAAGGCGGGGCATTCCCTCCCACACGCTCAGGGCATGAAACCGGGGCCAGATACACCGGAGGCCTGGCGCACCTGGCACTCCAGGGGCTGGGCACAACCCGGGAAGTCTGGCACACCTGGGGTATGGTCCGTGGCTACACCTGGGGTGTGAACCCAGGATCTTCTGTGTGCAAAGAAGACGTGCAAACCACTACACGATATATTTATGGAGCCACACCCCCACGATATATTTATCTGCGCTATATGTCCTCATTTGTTTAAGTCCTCCTTAATTTCTCTCACAAATATTTTTAAGATTTTAGAGTAGAGGTCTCACAAATTCTTTGTTAAAACTTTTCCTAAATATTTTATAATTATTATTTTATTTGCTAGAAAGATTTTATAACAGATTTTGTTACAACAGTGAGAGACACTGAAAGCTTAAAGCTCATATATAAAGAAAAAACAAAAAGAACTCTAAGTTCCTAGTCAGATATTATGAGGTTAAGGCAAATAGAAGGTTAACACAAAAAAATACAAAGATGATGCTAAAAAAAACATGGTGGACTGAGAGACGTTCCCAGATCTCCCCTCTTGAAACAACAACACGCCAAACATCTAAAACTCAACAAAAAACACCCAAACTGCACACCAGCACATCTGAGCGTGAGATCTGTGCATAAGAGCTACCACAGGTCAGAACTCCAGGTGTCAGGTGGTGGACTGGGAGAAACAAAGACGACGCCTCTTGTAGCC